ACAGTTTTATTCAGTCTACATTCAGTTCATAAATCTAGAGCAAATCTACTTCTACACAAGTATCCATTGGCTGCATGTGATAATAACACTTAACTGTTCCATAAATAGTAGCACACACAAATATATATGATGTCACATAAACATTAGACAAAGAAATGTGGGAAATAGGAAAATGAGACTAAGGTCTAAGAAAAATTGTTATCTCAAAATATGCACCCTATTATCCTACATTGTTTCTAGAGATAGGTTATATATTTGACCCTAAACTTTCTATCTGTAAAATCCAAAGAAAGAGTACGAAAGTATGTCACAAAGTTCACTGTAGACAACATAGAACCTCTTGAGTTAGCCAACAGAATGATTTGTTCCTGACAATGAGAGATGAGATACATTTCTCCTGAAGTGACATGTCAAGGATTCCTTCTTATAAGAGAATTCTCTCTGGGAGTTTAGTGATGAACATCCTCAATCAATAGTATAACTGGTTCTTTAATACATCTCAATGAAGTTTAATCTCTTTAAGATCTGTTGTAATTTAGTAACAAACTTTGAAGATGGGTCCAACAAATGTAGTCCAGATAGTTCTCTCTTTGACCCACATTTTGTTCATTCAAGAGCAAAATGTTGACTATTGGAAGAAAGAATATTACTAAGATACCCATACTAAGTAGTATTGTTTCTTACAATGTTTTGATTATAACTGGTAAGGAAAGAATTCTAAAATATTCTCCAACATGAAACCACAGTGCAGAAAGATTACTATAATCAACTGAATGTAGAATAATGATGATATTTTCAAGACTCATTATTAAATGGGTTGTATATTTTAATTTTTAATTTTTTCTAGGCCTGAAGAAGCTATGATAAGCTGAATGAAATAGGAGTGAGCCTGCACATGGTTCAAACTGGGATGAGTCAATGGGCAGATGAAGCAAAGGAAATTTTGTGAAGATCCAAATAACGATTGCTTTTATTGTAATCTTCATATCTTATGAATTATAAATTATGTGGGTGCCTTCCCTATTCCCTATTCCCCGCAATCGTTAGAAGGGTGAGTGGAGGAACACCACGACTACCCTGACTCCACTTTCAACCACAAACCTGAAGCATTCCAGGACGATTAAAGAGCTTAAAAGTAGGTTTGTGTTGACTTGACAGGGCCAGAATTCTCAGTAGTTTGGCCGTCAATATTGTTGGTATTGTGGGGACCGTAGAGTTGGCCGCAACTTTGAGGGACCCGATGTACAACAGAAGGAAACACTGTACGGTCCTGAGCCATCCTCACCACTGTTGCTGTGTTTGAACCCATTGTTGCAGCCGCCGTGACAATCCATTTCACTGAAAAGCTTTCCTGTTTTCACTGTCCCTCTACTTCACCAAACACAATGTCCTTTTCCAAGGACCGGTCTCTCCTGATAACACGTCCAAAGTATGTGAGATGAAGTGTCGCTATCCTTCCTTCTAGGTAGCATTCTGGCCATATTCTAAGACTTATTTGTTGGTTCTTTTGACAGTCCATGGTCCTTTCAATAATCTTCCCAGAAACATAATTCAACTACCCCAGTCAGCATATTTGAATCCTCATGACTACTGCTAACACAGGGCTACCAGCTCCATAATGAGGTCCGATAAGAGCAGTCAATCAGTTGTAAAAAGATTAGAGTAGAAAGCAGCCCCTTCCTCATGCCATAGCCCTGAAGCAACTGAAAGGAACTGTCTTTGGGGGAAACTTTCCTGTATAAATAGATGCTGTGGAAACCTTTGCTTTTTATGTGCTGGATCTTGTTCCTACATCTGGCTCATGGATTTCTAATTCTTTGGACTTGAGCTAAGGGTCTACCTGCTGATTCTGAGGGTCAGTTTGCTAGTTGACCTGCGGACTTTAGATGTATTTACCCCTCCAGTCACAAGCCTGATCTGCTGTTCTTAGATTCACCCACCTCTGCAGTCTACCAGCAGCCTGTAGTACCCCTTATCTCGGGCTCATCAGCCCTCGCAACTGTGCAAGGTGGGAGTGTCCTCAGTTTAACATCTTACCTGTGGAACTCTGACTGGACATGCCCACTTCTACACCCAGGTGAGCCACTTTCTTGATATAAATCAATCTATCTCTCTCTCCCTCTCCCTCTTGCCGCAGCTCTTAGTATAGATTACAACTCAATACAAAGAAGGCCAGAATCCTTACAACTGGACCAATAGGCAAATATCACCATAAAGGGAGAAAGATTGAAGTTGTCAAGGATTTTGTCTTGCTTGGATTCATAATCGATACTCAACTAAACTGCAGTCCAGAGATTAAAAGACTAGTTGCATTGAGTAAATCCGCTGCACAAGACCTCTTCAGAGTATTGAAAAGCAAGGATAGTACTTTGAGGACTAAGTGCTCCTGATCCAAGCCATGGCATTTTCCATTGCTCAGGTGAATGTAGAAGTTGGACACTGAATAAGGCAGACCGAGGAAGAATTGATGCATTTGAGCTGTAGTGTTGGGGAAGACTATTGAAAGTGACACGGACTGCTGCAAGGACAAACATGGCATGCTGTTTTAGGTCTCATAGTATTTGGTTATATTCTTCTGTGTCTTTCTCTAACTTTTGCTCCTGGTTAACTCTCCTTCAGCCTTCAAGAGCCAATTCTGAAAACTAACTTCTCCACAGTTTCTCCCCACCCCCTATGCTCAACTCTTGGCCTACACCATATTGTACAGACTTGATACAGTACCAGATGCTATCATAATTGGTTTTTTCTACATGTGCCCATACAATTGCCCAGATTGTAAAATATGAGAACACAGTTTCCAAGACTGCTCTCACTAAAATGAGCTGACTGCAGATTGTGTATTATGCTAGAAAGATGCCCCAAACTACCTGTAAGCTGATTTTTACCTACTATCTGGAAATAATACAGACCCAAATTAGAAAAAGGATGAGACACATAGGCAGTGTCTAAAGGGTCTTAACATGAAGCTTCCTTGTCCTTGGGATACATGGTCCTCCGAGTACCGATATATAACAATTGCACGGAGGACTGAAACCAGGGAAGTTCACCCATCCTTCACTCTTTGAAGCTTTTATGGGGGCTCCATTACAAAGGTATGGCTGATGATTGGATTGAGCATCGTAGACACCAAGCTAATTGATATCCTATTATCCAGAGTCCATCTTAAACCTGATGGTTGACCTTTATGGTGTAGCCAACCTTATTCCTAGGACTATTGGATATGGCCAACCCCACTGTAAAATCTTGTATGGCCAACCCTCACCCTAAACAAAGACAGTTCTCTTATATATTGCCTCCAAGAATCCAAGAGTAAGGGCAAGAATGATCTTAGAGCAAGGTAAAGGTCTTTATTCTAAGGTTTCTACATTCAAAAGTGACTTTTAAGAGCATTATCTCTTACTCCTTACCACTCCTTACCATCATTAGAATATAGTACAATTTCTAAAACAGTGGTTTAGGAAATTTATCTTCTTTAAAACAAAACAAAAAACCTATCTAGAAACTTAAATGCTATCACTTATGGAAGTAAAGGATCTAGCGGCATTTGCATAATTTTAGAAATTCCACAATTAAAACATTTTATTATATTTTGGAACATTTCTCTTACAGAAAACTGGTTTGGCTAAACACCATAATATACTAAGGAGGAATATTTATAAAAGATCTGCTTAATTAAGGTACAGTTCCCATGATTAACAGCTAGATACTGTAATAACTGGCTTGAAGTATTAAAAGAAGTTCTAACACTAAGGTTTTGGGGAATAGCATTTCCCTTCTCATTTGCAAAATACTTGATCATTAGTCAAATTTATTACACTATTTTACAAGTTAATCATGGATTGATAACTTTATTTTCTTCTAGAACTGATTAATGGGCATCTTAAATGTATTAATAATGAGCATCTAAAAATGACACGATGTGCTGTACGGTATAGCACACAGAGGAAGCATTTTGCTATGTAAATATTGCCAACATCTTGGGATCTTTACTTAAGGAATCAGTTCAGTTGTATTGAGAGGATGAAGTAGAATTTTAGAGATATGTCTCAGGTAAAAGAGATTCAGTTGAAGTTTCTCACCTGTTTTTCATATCCGGCTCTTTGCTTTCTACTTGGGTTTACAAGAATTAAACCTCAAACCAAACCCACTCCAATGAGTCGATTCTGACTTACAAAACTAGATGGCAGAGAAGCAATGCCTGCAGGACTCTAAGGCTGCCATCAAGACAGAAACAGACGGGCATGTCTTTCTCCAGGGCAGTGGCTGGTGATTCAAACCATCCACCTTTCAGTTAGCAGCGGAATCGTTCATCAGTGTGTCATCTGGGCTCCTTTCCCATCATAAATGATCTCCATCTGGGCTCCTTTCCTATCATAACGGATCTCCATCCTACTTGCTAGCTCAGGATTCCGTTTCAATGACACACTGCCAAAGGAAGCCATTCTCTCTGCCCAAAGGTTGGGTTTCTGTCCCTGAAATGCTCTGATAGCAGCCTGTACCCAACTCTACATTAGCACTTATCATTTTGTATTATACCTATTTATCTCTTTTAGTAGATGGTAAACCTCTGGATGGCAAGTCACAGTCACCAAAGTTTGGTTGAAATGATAAACACAGTATGCACGAGAGTCTAACTGCTCTGCAGAGTGGAGCAAGCAGTTATTACTATTGTTGATGTTATGTATAATGGAAAAATAAGAGGCATCAGAGCGTATGGCTTTGTTATCAGACAACCACGTGTTCAAATATTGTGCAGCTACTGACTATGTGACATCAAACCGATGTCTTCACATTTAAAGATTTCTCCATTTGCAAATATAAATAGTAAAGTCTGAGTAAATGAAAAGGCATATGTCTTCCATATGGGAAAATTTAAGGACATTTACATGTTATTGTTGTTGGAATTGTAGACCTGATTATTACTATAGTATTCTTCGGAACTCGTCCTGTGACAAGAAAATTTCCTGAAGACCATGGAGTAACACAGAAAAGATGTAATCGTGTCTTGCTTCAGCGGTACATGCACTTAAATTGAAATGAAACAGGGAAGATTAACCTGGCTCTTGTGCAAGTACGACATGCAAATTCTTAGTTCCATATTTTTAAAGAAATCGCTTCTACATATAACTTCCTCCCTGGGGGATGGGCAACAGAAAAGTGGGTGAAGGGAGATGTTGGACAGTGTAAGATATGACAAACTACTATTATTTATAAATTATCAAGGGTTCATGGGGGAGGGGGGAACAGGGAGGGTGGGGGAAAATGAGGAGCTGATACCGAGCGCTCAAGCAGAAAGCAAACGTTTTGAGAATGATGATGGCAACAAATGTGCAAATGTGCTTGACACAATGATTGGATGGATGGATTGCGATAAGAGTTGTACGATCCCCCAATAAAGTGATTTAAAAAACAAATCTGGAACACCTAGCAAAAACAAAACAAAAATATGCAATTAAGTCTATTCATAGAAATAAAGACAGTTGCATTTGCCTTCAGGAAGGAAAAGGACTACCAGTATTTGGATTCAGTTGCTTTATGGGAGGAAGTGGTGTGAGGGCCACGTCTGATCTTCTCTGACTTCACACCCGTTGGGGAAGACGAATTCAGCTCCATATTAGCAAAAAGCCCATTTCGACGATACAGTGGTCTGAGGTGCCTCCACCTTCCAACCTTGTTTTAATCATCTTCTGACATTCATCATTCCTTCCACTAGTGCTTATTTCTCTTCTGGGTTCAATGATCTATAGCAAAGACCATGCAGAACTTACAGACTATACTGTACTCATGGTTATGTGGTTTGTTAGGGTTGCTTCCACATGATAAATGAGGCTCAGTCAGGTTACAGATACAGTTTGTCTGTCTGCAACAGGTCTTCTCAGCTATGCCAGGAGATCCTCAGCCTCTGAGCCGCATGGCCAATAGGCCTCTGTCTTGCTCAAGCAAATGTTACCAGCCTCCTTTAGTGCTGATAAATCCCCAACGGGCACTCATTCTGTGGGTCATGCTCTTGGCGCTGCGGCTCTTCTGCCATGGCACTTCTGTCCAGAGATCTCGGACATGGTCCACTTGTTGCTCATCTTTTTTGATGGCTGTGAGATTCCTTTGAGGTGGTTCCTTTGATATCCATCAGAACGGCAAAATGGACCAATCCTCGAATGGACCATACACCTTATTTGCATCCTCCCACCTGTTCATTTGATGAGAGTTCCAAAAATTATGGATAGATGAGCCCTTCCAAGGAATCTCACATCACCACCACCCCTACGTGTCTGAATAGGCTGCTCTGTAGAGTTCTAGGTGGTAATCTTTATGGCAATATGTCCCCACGGCTTTTCAATGCAGAGCTGATGGGTGGGTTTGAGCTGCTAACTTTTCTATTAGCCAAGCACTTCACCATGGCCCTTAACCACAGCTCCTTGAACTTTCTCTCCAGAAGTAGATTTCCCACCAGACCCCACCTTTCCCACCTTGCATTATCTGGACTTTCTCACTATTTCAGACTTGTTTCAGTTGAGACCAGCATCTCATTTTATTAACTCAAGATTGAACATATAAGGCTTAATAGATAAATAAGCTTAATATATCTATAGGCATAATGATCCATAGGCATACAAGGCTATAACCTAAAACAATTCTTTCTAAACTAATGAAACACGAGAAAATCATATTTGTATGTAGATGGCTGGGCATTTAGGTGATTCTGAATTAAGATCCATATTAAAAATATTCTGTTTTAATATCAAGTTGCTATAAAGTGTGTTAAAACAGTCTTTGTATTGCATTTTGTAAGTTACAATGTCTCTTAGATACCTAAAGACATTTAATCCTATAACAAGCCTATCCCCTCTGGTTTATAAATGAGCAACTGGGTACTATCTAGCCAGGTCACAAAACAAGGAAGAACAGATTTAAAAAATAAACCCTATTCTTTTTACCAGTATATTGTAGTTAAAGAGCCACATATTTACATCTAATGAATCTTTCTGTAGTGGCATGCTTTTAATTTGCCCCTTTTTTTGGAAGGCCGTGCATGCAATGCAGACATAGAAGAATACAAGTGTGCTTGTTGAGAGCAGGAAAGGGAATGCAGACTATTTGGACAAGGGATAGAAATCAAGGAAGGGTGACAGTTTTCTCCTTTCCTCTTTAGCTTTCTCCTCCTATTCACCATCAATGGCTAATTCCAAATTAATTTTCACTTTTCCAATGGAAAGAAAAATGAAAAGTTTTTTTTATTTCAAATAAGAGGGGATATTAATTGGTGAGTTAAAAGATCATATACATACTGGACATATTTAGGCCATGGCCATATTCTGAGACTTGGGGATTTTTAGTGCCCCTCTCTGTCTTACTTCTGTTTATCTGTTATTCAGATTTGTTTCTCCTTATTCAAGATTTATTATCAGATTCTATATAGTGGCCCATAGTAACAGCAGGCTGTCATAATTTTTGATTACTTGCATTTCCAGTGGAAAGAAGACTTACTTCTCTTAGCAGGTTCAACAAAGTTCCAAAAGTAATTAATTCTCTTTGCTCTGTTTTAGGTCTTCTGCTATCTCTGAATTAATAACTATGGTTTGGGAATGGAACACATTAATCAGCCTGGGACAAATATAATAGGGTGGTATCAGATTCTCCTTGCAGGGGATGTGAATTATTTAATGTGACTCTTCTAGCCAGTCTATAAACCCCACAGAATAAAGAATTTTTCCTGCATTGGTCTGGTAAGAAGGTGGGAGAGGATACTGAAAGGAGATATTTCTGAGTAACTGTGAACAGAATTTCATGGAGTCTCATCCTGCTGTGTATGAAAAGAGGCCTCTGCAAAGCCAGAGGAGAGATCATCTCACCAGCAAGAACCAGGAGTGGAACAAGTCTTCTGGGCCTGAGACCCTTGTGCAGTGAACCTCCTGGATCCAGAAGACAGCAATAGCATCAGAACAGCAGCTGAACCAGGAGGCAGAGCATGGAACTACCTACCGAGTGATGGATTTCCCAAACCACAGAGCAAGTAAAGCTAAGTGCCTTTGTGCAGACAGCTTGATTGCAGAATTGGGTGCCTCTCGGCACTTAATTGGGAGAGCTGGGCTTGCTGCTCCACGGAGCTTGACCCGAATGAATGCTTTCAACTTGAGGCATCCAGTGGTGGGTTACTGCACCTTTGGGCATTTAGTAGCAGATCTGAAAGACCATTGTAACTTGTGCTGAAAAACAACCATCCTGAGAATTTCTTACTAGCATTACAACTTGTTAGCTTCCTTAATAAACTCGGAAATTATGAATTTTGTGTGTGGGTTCATTATTTAGTCATTGCAACGGATGTTAGGACCTTGAGGATTGTAATGGATATTATAACCTAGAGAAGTAAAATAGAAAACATTAATTAAGACAACACACTCCTAATTCACATGATGTTAAAGCAGTGGTTCTCCACCTTCCTAATGCTGTAACCTTTCATACAGTTCCTCATGTTGTGGTGACCCCCCAACCATAAAATTATTTTCGTTTCTACTTCATAACTATACTTTTCCTTCTGTTATGAATCATCATGTAAATATCTGATATGCAGGATGTATTTTCATTGTAACAAATTGAACATAATTAAAGTACAAAGATCAACTACAAAATCAATATGTAATTCTACATTGTGAAATATTTATTTCTAATTACAAATAAATGAAATTTTGTCTTGAAGCATGGTGTAGCATGGGTGACAGTCTTCACGCCGGGTACTTGTATGTGGGTGTATGTGCAAGTGGGCAGACCCGCCTGCAGAGGACAGAGAAGCAGTGTCTCCGTTCCTAAGACCATCGGAAATATGTGTTTTTCGATGGTGTTAGGCGACCCTTGTGAAGGGGTCGTTTGATCTCCCAAAGGGGTCATGACCCACAGGTTGAGAACTGCTTCTTTAAATAGAAATGATGGTGTCACAAAATGAAAATGGAGGTGTTATTGCCAAGGAAATAACAGGGAATAAACGCTGGGTAGGCAAAAACCAAGATTTTCCTATTCCACTGACCATTGTTTACCCACCCTGTTTAAATTTGAACCTCAGCATGTTTGGAAAGGATGGGCAAGGAAAAGTAACATAACATAATGTGCCCAAACTCCATTCAGGGAATGCAGTGAAGTCTGATGAAGTTCCTGTCCAACCAAGCACATATCAGGTTTGGCTATTTGGGACTGGGGCTGATTTGGGTATCAGCAAAGACTTTAGTTAACCGGAGGCAGAAAGAGCAATGGAGCCAAGTACCATAGCAGGCTTCAGGAGAATCACGAAGTTCCCGTTCACATAACCTTTCATCTGGAAGGTAAGGGAGAGTGGTCAAGACGTAAGATACGATGACAGACTCCAAAGTGGCAAACAGGCAGGACTACAGAGGGATAGGGTGGCATACAGAGGTGCTGTGAGAAGGGGCGAAGTGGACAGCACAGGCTTCGGTTGGCATGGGCTTCCTATTAGAAAGTTTGCCAATAGGGTGCTCAGTGTACTGGCTGGGATCATGGCTAGTGCCAGGCTAGACATTGTGTGTTAGAAAACCTACTCAATATTGACATAGATGCTTTGCAGATAAACATCTTTTGAGTCATTAAGGAAAGTACACAAAAATTATGCATCTCACCAGAGATGAGCGTGAGAGGGGGGAAAAAAGAATAAAGACAAAGTGGAGAAAGCCACGAAGTGTTTAGAACAGAGCCAGTTGGGAGGTAATCTTTGTTTATAACTGGCTGGTTGAGAGGTAATCTTTGTTTATAACAGAGCCAGTTGAGAGGTAATCTTTGATTATAACTGTCCAGTTGAGAGGTAATCTTTGTTTATAACTGGCCAGTTGAGAGGTAATCTTTGTTTATAACTGGCCAGTTGAGAGGTAATCTTTGTTTATAACTGGCCAGTTGAGAGGTAATCTTTGTTTATAATTGGCTAGTTGAGAGGTAATCTTTGTTTATAACTGGCCAGTTGAGAGGTAATATTTGTTAATAACTGGCTAGTTGAGAGGTAATCTTTGTTTATAACTGGCTAATTGAGAGGTAATCTTTTGCAATATTTATGTTGCCCACATGGGCATTCTGAGAGCATGAATACCTCTGGCCAGGCAAAAAAAT